GCTGCTGCATTGATCGAGGTGTGAAGACAGATTAAAATCAGTCTTCAAGTGGGAGATTGTTGAAAATTCAACAACACATGGACTGCTAAAGAATTTAGCAACCGACTGCTTGAAAAAAAGGGGGCTGAATTTTGTTGAATTTAGGCATGGGAAAATTATTTTTAGTCCCTTAACTTTAGTATATTTATAAAGATTAATCCTTAAGCTTCAACTATAAATACCTCAACTCATTTAGCTTCAAAATCATCAAAAAATCATTTCTTTCTCTCAATACTAGAGAGTTTTCTTATGACTAGGAGTGTTTTGTAAACACTTGTAAATTTTCTCTCTTAGTAAAAGATCTGCAGGAGTTCGGAGATATAGGCATAATTGGCTGAACTCCGTTATCAATTTTGGGTGTTATTTTTCCGCTTTATTTCACATTCTCACTAATCTGGTTATATGGAAATTACTCGTACTCGGTTTATTTCCCAACAACTGGTATCAGAGCTTTTGGTTGTGAATTTTGTCAATTTTTTTGCGAGGTTATTATTCATTACTATTCACGTGAATAGTGAATTTCGTAATTAGTAAAAAAAAATATCGACGATACGAATTTATCGACGGAGGCGTTCTAATACACGGTTGTTCACAAGAATTGTTAGAAACAATCCAAACAAAGCCAGATTCGAGTGGGGGCGATGGTTGTAGACGAAGGGAAGATGAAAATTGAAAAGTTCGATGGTGCGGACTTTGGCTTTTTGAAGATACATATTGAAGATTTTTTATACCAGAAAAATCTATATCAACCTCTCTCAAGAAAGCAACCAGAGGGCATGAAGAATGAAGAATGAAGACTGGGCTCTTCTCGACAGACAAGCCCTTGGAGTTATCCGACTGACGTTATCCCGCAATGTTTCTTTCAACATAGCAAAGGAAAAGATCACGGCGGGTCTTATGGCGACTCTCTTCAGTATGTATGAGAAGAAATCGACCTCAAATAAAGTTCATTTGATGAGGTGATTATTCAATTTGCGGATGACAAAAGGGGAATCAGTGGCTCAACACCTAAATGAACTCAACGCAATCACAACCCAATTGAGTTCAGTGGAAATTAAATTCGATGATGAAGTTCGAGCTTTAATTCTCTTATCATCTCTACGAGACAGTTGGAATGCTACTGTTAAAGTAGTGAACCGCTCGTCGGGAAACAACAAATTAAAATTCAACGATGTTCGGGATCTGGTATTGAGTGAAGAAATTCGACGGAGAGAATCGGGTGAAACATCAATCTCCTCAGCTTTGCACACGGAGTCCAGAGGGAGAACTTCAGAAAAAAAATTCAAATTGTGGCAGATAGAAATCCAGAAGGGGCAAATCAAAAACAGGAAAGAAAGATTTTACCAGTTATAATTGTGGCAAGAAGGGTCACTTTAAAAGAGATTGTCGAGCATTGAAGAACGATATCAGCGCTCAGGAATCTACCAACATGACAGAGGAGACATGTGATGCCATAATTCTAAACGTCAACAGTCCGATTGAATCATGGATCTTGGATTCAGGGGCATCTTTCCACTCTACCCCATGCCAAGAAATCATGGAGAACTATGTCAGTGGTGATTTCGGGAAGGTTCATCTAGTTGATGATGAAACCTTGAAGATCATCGGAAGAGGAGATATCTGACTAAAGTTGCCAAACCATACCATCTGGACACTGAAAGGTGTGAGACATATTCCTGGTCTCAAAAGAAATTTGATTTCTATAGGACATCTTGATGGAGAAGGATATATCACAACCTTTTCAGGTTGTGAATGAAAGATTACCAAAGGATCACTCATCATTTCTCGTGGTAAGAAGACCGGTACTCTCTATGTAACATTAAATTTAGAGAATATCATTGCTGTAGCAGACGCTGATGGAGAATCAAACCTATGGCCATGTGAGCGAGAAAAGGATGAAGACACTTTTTTCAAAAGGGAAGCTGCCAGATCTAAAGAATGTAGATGTTAGACTATGTGAAGATTGCATCTTTGGCAAACAAAAGAAAGTTAGTTTTGTAAAGATTTGCAAGACACCCAAGGCAGAAAAGTTAGAGTTGGTTCATACTGATGTATGGGGACCATCTCCAGTTCCATCTCTTGCAGACTCATTATATTATGTCACCTTGATCAATGATTCAACAAGAAAGGTGTAGATTTATTTTCTGAAGAAAAAATCAAAAGTCTTTGATACCTTTCAGAAAATGGAAGGCCATGGTGGAAAATGAGACTGATTTGAAAGTCAAGCTGTTGAGGTCTGACAATGGAGGAGAGTACAAAAGTAGAAGATTCATATATTTCTGCGCAAACAATGGGATCAAGATAGAGACAACAGTTCCCATGACACCGCAGCAGAATGGCGTAGTAGAGTGCATGAACAGAACTCTGAATGAACGTTTCAGAAGCATGAGGATACATGCCGGATTGTACAAATTTCTATGGGCTGAAGCTATCAACACTACAACTTACCTAATCAACCGTAAGCCCTTAGTTCCTTTGGATGGCAGAATACCAGAGGAAGTTTGGAGCAGGAAAGAAATAAACCTTTCACACTTAAGAGTGTTTGGTTGTATTTCTTATGTACACATAGACTCTGCTGAAAGAAGTAAACTTTATGCTAAGTCCAACAAATGTGCCTTTGTTGGTTATGGCGGTGATGAAGTTGGTTATCAGTTTTGGGACTACAAAAATCAGAAGATCATCAGAAGCAGAGATGTCATTTTCAATGAGAATGTGACGTACAAAGACAGGGCAACCATAGAATCAAGTAGCTCCAATACTATAGATGAGGAATTTGCTGATTTTGAGGAGATTTCTGGAAATGATGTTCAGATCAATCCTGAAGCAGTTCAAGAAGAACCATGCACACCAGAACTGAGACGCTCCTCCAGAATTCCTAAACCAATCCAACGTTATTCGCCTTCTTTGCACTACTTGTTGCTGACTGACAATGGTGAACCAGAGTGCTATGATGAAGCAATACAGGTGGAGGATTTAGTTAAGTGAGAGTCTTCAATGAAAGATGAGATGGACTCGCTTATGTCAAATCAGACATGTGAATTAGCTGAATTACCACCAAGCAAGAAAACGCTCCACAACAAGTAGATTTACAGGATCAAAGAAGAGCACGATGAGAGCAAACGCTACAAAGCGAGATTGGTTGTCAAATGTTTTCAGCAAAAAGAAGGTATTGACTACAATGAAATTTTCTCTTCAGTCGTGAAACTGTCTACAAGCAGACTGGTGTTGAAAATTGTAACTGCAGAAAATCTACATCTTGAACAGTTAGATGTAAAGACAGCTTTCCGTCATGGTGATTTTGAGGAAGAAATCTATATGAGGCAGCCATAAGGCTTCATAGAGGCAGGCAAGAAAAACCTGGTATGCAAGTTGAATAAGAGCTTGTATGGTTTAAAACAAGCTCCTAGATAGTGGTACAAGAAGTTCGATAGTTTCATGAGTAGCAGTGGTTTTACCAGATGCCAAGCAGATCATTGTTGCTACATCAAGCGGTTCAACAATAGCTTCATTATTTTATTATTGTACGTTGATAACATGCTCGTTGTAGGCTCAGACATGCAAGGGATTATAAACTTGAAGCAAAAATTGTCGAAATAGTTTGCTATGAAGTATCTGGGTACTGCAAAGCAGATTCTTGGGATGAGGATCAAGAGAGACACAAAGTCAGGGACTTTGATGTTATCACAAGCTGAGTACATCAACAAAGTACTCTCCAGGTTCAACATGCAAGATGCTAAACTAGTAAGTACAATTTTAGGTGTTCATTTTAGACTCTCCAAAGAACAGTCACTAAAGACGGAGGAAGAACGTGCACACATGGTGAAGGTGACGTATGCCTCAGCAATTGGAAGTCTGATGTATGCCATGGTTTGTACTAGACCAGATATTGCTCATGTAGTGGGAGCTGTTAGCAGATACATGAATAATCCGGGAAAGGTACACTGAGAAGCAGTCAAATGGATCCTCAGATATCTGCGGGTTACTATAAACAAAGAACTTTGTTTTAAAGGTGGAGATACAATACTGACAGGCTATGTAGATGCTGACTTAGCCGGAGATGTTGACATCAGAAGGAGCACTACAGGGTATGTCTATACTCTAGGAGGTACTGCAGTGAGTTGGGTTTCTCAACTACAGAAGATAGTTGCTCTCTCCACAACCGAAGCAGAATATGTCGCTGTTACGGAAGCCAACAAGGAGATGGTTTGGCTCCAAAATTTCTTGGAAGAGTTAGGTAAGAAACAAGAAAACAATGTCTTTTATTACGACAATCAAAGTGCTATCCATCTAGCAAAGAATCTGTCTTTTCATTCCAGGACGATATATAATTGAGATATCATTTTATCTGGTCTCTTCTAGAAGATGGGATTTTGAAACTTGAAAAGATTAGTGGAGCTCAAAATCTGGCAGACATGTTAACAAAGACGGTGATTATGGACAAATTGAAGTTGTGTTCAGCTTCAGTTGGCATGCTAGAGTAATAAGACCAGAAATGCTGCTGCATTGATCGAGGTGTGAAGACATATTAAAATCAGTCTTCAAGTGGGAGATTGTTGAAAATTCAACAGCACATGGACTGCTAAAGAATTTAGCAGCCAGCTGCTTGAAAAAAAAAAGGGCTGAATTTTGTTGAATTTTATTCATGGGAAAATTATTTTTAGTCCCTGGACTTTAGGGTATTTATAAAGATTAGTCCTTAAACTTCAACTATAAATACCCTAACTCATTTAGCTTCAAAATCATCCCAAAATCACTTCTTTCTCCCAATCCTAGAGAGCTTTCTTGTGAGTTGTGAGTGTTTTGTAAACACCTGTAAATTTTCTCTCTTAGTAAAAGATCTGCAGCAGTCCGGAGACGTAAGAATAATTGGTTGAACTCCGTTATCAATTTCGGGTATTATTTTTCTGCTTTTATTTCGCATTCTCACTAATCTGGTTATAGGGAAATTACTCGTACTCGATTTATTTCCCAACTAGAACTTCAGGAGGGATTCCCAGTTTTGGAATTTTTGGTGGTACAGAGGGTGGCGACACATAATCCGGAGGAGTTGAAGGAGGATTCACTTCAGGTGGCGGCTCCCGACTGGGAGGAGGTGATGGTGGGATAGGAACTACTTTAGGACCAGTTGGAGGAGGTCCCAATGGTGGCTTCGAAAAATCAGGACCAGTGTCAGGCGTAGGACGACTGTCAGGCGTAGGACGACTGAGTGGTGGAGGGTCGCTATCGGAAGGGTCCATTTCAGAAGTCCCTACAATCTCCAGAACATCCGGCGACGGTAACGTATAGTTTGGCCTTGAAGGAACCTCGCTTGGGGCACCGAAGGATCTTTCAGCTAGTATCCGCCGCCATGACGGTGGCGATAATTTTGTGCTGTTGGAATTTGTGGTTTTTAGGGAGATGGGTAGTTTAGTTATGTTTAATTTGAATGAATTCAAAGGAAGTGACAGTTTGAAGATACTGGTCGGAGTGGACATGTTTGGTTTGCAAGAAAATCCTTTTCAAGTTTAAATAGATTTGTGAAACAGAAAAATAAAGGAAATTAACATGTTGAACTACGTGTGGCAGTGTCTTTGATACGTGCATTTTATGCAAGCCTGGGTCGAGTAATATTCAATGGCGAAACTAACGATAGAGTTTAGGGACAATTAAAAATTTTAAAAATTTAGTCGCTTAATTCAGATATTTAAAAATTTTAAAGAGATTAATTTATATTTTTTTAAATTAGGTTCTAACTGTAATTTCTAAAAAATTGAGAGGTTCAGTGAAATTTTTTAAAAATTATGGGAGGGATTTAATTAAGAACATTAAAAAAAATTAAAATTTAGTTTGAATTCCTAAAAATTTTGGAGGGGCAAAATTAAATTTTTAAGAATTTTAAGTGTCAAATTAAAATTTTTAAAATTTTGGGGGGTCACAGTCCTCTTTAATCCAGCTTGTGTTCTGCCCTAATAATATCTTTGGGTGTACAAAAATATTTCACTTGATATGAAATTAGATTATAAAAAATATAAAAATATATATTTATTTATAATTTATTTTCTTCTTTAAAATTTTATAAAATTTTTATATTTTTATATTTTATTTTTTAATATAAAATTTTACATTTGATTCTGATTGAACAGTATTGTAGTCACCTTCCCATAGACTCGCCGCATATGTCTCCTCAAAAATACTACAAATCGTGATGATTTCAACCTGAAATCTTCATAATATTTCATTGAATAAATTCAGTTTGTTCTCGTCCAATAATGATGGAGATTTGATTGAAGAATTATTATTTTCTTTTATTTTTTAATTAAGATCTGTTGACAATCATCGCATTATAACATACATTGTTTTTTTTCTTAATTAATCATTAGTATTTGGTCTATTGAACGACTAATTTAGATTGTGTATTATAGAGACGAGTGCAACCTTCTTAATCCAGTTTGTTCTATTCATAAATGTCAAGGTTCAAACTCTTGATATTGTTTAAAGAATCTAGTACCTCATCTCATTAGACCAACTAATTATTGATATACATTGTTTCTTTTTAATTATATATATAATTAAACATAAAATATTTTAAAATTAAAAAGATTGAAAGAATCGTAAACCGTTTTAAATATTATAAAAGATCTATAGTTCAAATTTTGAACTTCCACTAAAAATTATGAAATATTTTTGTAAACAAATAATAATACTAAGGGAGTCAAACCATCGTTCAAACTCAAAATCGAAGTTTAAAAACTACATTGCACATTCGGCCAAACATGGTCTTAAAAAGAAGTTAAAAGCTTTATGACAAGTGGTATTAAAATGACTCTATAATTGTCTAATGTCATGTCCAGTAGTGAAACTTGATAACAGAGTGGCGGTGCAACTTAAAATTTAGAAAATTAAAGGTTTAAATTAAGATTTTTAATAATTTTGAAGGGTTTAGTTTATATTTTTTTTTTCAAAAAAATTAAGATCTAACTACAATTTTTAAATTTTTGAGAAATTTAATTAATTTTTTTTAAAAATTATGGGAGGGTTTAATTAAAAACATTAAAAATAAAATTTAATTTGAATTTTTAAAAAAATTGGTTTCCAAATAGAAATTTTTTAAAATTTTAAGGGTCAAAATTATTTTTTTTTATTTTGAGGGGGCCATGGCCCCTCTAGTCTAGCATATGTTCCGCCTCTGGTCATGTCGAACGCTCTAACAAATGGAATATAGATAGGATGAATAAAATTGTGTGATTGAATCTGGAAAAAGATGATCGTAACTTAAATTTACATTTGAATTATTATACTTCAACTATTAGAGATAATTTATAATCGATATGTATTAATTTTGGACGTTGTGGGAGTGCTTATCATTCTCCACGCACAACCGACTCCTGAAGCACATTTTAATAAAATGAATAAATTTCTGGTTACATGTAGACTGGTCTTATCTTTTAAAAGGTGATTTTCATATACTCGACCTACCTAACTTAAAAAATTGATGACGACTCCAAAACATTTTATTTTATAAAACTAAATTTTTGAAAATAGCCGATATACATTCCAAGCTTAAGGATCATTCCGACAATTACTCATTAGGTTCTCCCATCAATAGATCTTGTTAGTCGTGATTAGGGATGTTAATTAAATGGGGCGTACACAGAATTATTTTTGTTTTTCATTTATCTTCGTCAAAAACTTTATCTCTATCCACAACTCGTTGTGGGGTACAAAATTCAAAATCATTCTTATCTATAATCATTCACACCCTACAAAAACATATTTTTTTTAAGAAAAAATTTGGCTCCCAATTAGGAAAAGAAAAATGTATTAAGGGAAGGAAAAAAATAGGAAATTTACATACTAATTTTTTTTAAAAAGAAAGTATTAAAAAGTTTAGACTCTTGATTTTAAATTTCGAGATACACCCTACCATCTACATGGGTTCCGAGGCCTACCTAATCCATGCTATATTCGTCTACTCACTTTATGTAATATATTATATGTACAAGTTAAATAAATATAAAATCTACTTTTTATCAAAAAATATATGAAAACGTTTATCCTCTCAACTCCCACTACATATGTGATACTATTCTAATTATCGCTATTTAAAAAATATTAATAAGTCGTTGCAATCCTTTAATTTTCGCCATTTAAAAAAATAATAATAGTAACCTTCCCATGGATTCGCCGCAAATGTCTCCTCCAAAATGCTATAAATTTCCATGATGTCAACCTCAAATCATTCATCACATCTTATTAAATAAATTCATATACTTTCTTTTTTTCTTTTCTTTTCTTTATTACAAAGAAACAGAGAAAATGGCAAAGATTGCTTTAATTATTGTTTTGATCTCAATGATTATGTTTCTTTCAATCCAATCCATCATCGGAGACATTGAAGATCCACCTGCACCGATAACGGAAGTTAAAGAAACTGTTGAATCGGTGTCGGCTGCTCCCGAGCCAGCTAAGGATAATGCAAAGGAGAAATCTCCGTCATGGACCGATTGGACCAAGAAGAAGATCAGTGGTATGGAGAATAGTATTGAGCACCTCTTTTCTTCATAACCATCACCGGCACCGGCACCGGCAACCACAATCACTGTGAAAGTTTGAGCAGAAATTGTCACTGCATAAAGGATGTTTCATATATGCAACAAAATATTAAAGCATATTAATGTAATCTATTTGGAGTAATTATTGATTCTCGTTCAATTTCTTAAAATTAATTTTAAACCTATATGATGCATTAAAATTATGTTATGATCAAGTTTGGTAAAAATGAATTTTAAATTTAATAATGTTTAAGAATATTAAAGTCATCGAGTATTTATTATCAAAGACGGATGCATGATTTTATGTGAATAGACGAATTTATAAAATTTTAAAATAGTGAAAATGTGTCAATAGAAAATACAAAAAATATATCTAAAATATATAAGAATTTAAAATTTTCAACGAGCGAATACTTCTATCAGTCCCCTTCTGTTCATCCTTATTTATTATGAACGAATTTGTATACTACTTTACCTATTATTTACTTACAAATGCCATTTAAAGGGATTTTTAGTTATTATTTTAGTCTTTGTAAGTATCGCTAGAGATGAAGTTATACTTCGTCTTAGAGGGTATTGTCCTTTTATTATTATCATTATTATTTGTTAGTGTTAGAGTTATGAACCAATATTCTCTTAGATTAGATCATGAACATGAAGCTACAATCAATACAGTAGTAAAAGTGTGAGCTTTTAAGACGTGAAATAGTATATTTCGTTTGATCCCTATAAATAGAAAGGAGATAATAGGGTTTTGGCATGTAACATATCTTGTACTTTTTTACATAGTGAAATTTTTATCTCCTTTGCTTGTGATTTTTTTATTGGATGATGTCGTCACGTTCGACAAGTACGGTTGAGCACCATTAAATTAATTTAAAAATATTAAATTATAAAATATTAAACATATAATTATAAATTAGTTAAAAATCTAAATGTAATTTAATTAAAATATAATATTTACAAAACATTAGTTTTTAGGGTAAATTATACCATTGACCACCTAACTATTTACCCCTTTTACTTTAACCACTGATTTTTCAATTTTTCAATCGGATCCCCTAACTATTTAAATATTGTCAATCAAGCCACCTTCCATTAAATACTAACGGAGGAGATGACGTGACAGTTAATAAAATTTGTATAATTATACATTTAGTCCTCATTACTTACACATTCTATTAATTTGGTACTAACTTTTATTTAATTCAATAAATTTAATCCTTAATCCGATGGTTGCATGTTTCACTATTTGATTGGATTTTTTAATATTTTTTATTTAATAAATTTTTCATCCAATCTAATATTGCCACGTGTCACCAATTGAATGAATGAAAAATAAATTAACTCAATAACCACATTTTGTGGGGTTTGAGCTTATGACGCAAGCTGAAAAACTAAACACCCTAACCACTAAGTTGGACCACTAAATTAGTTTAATATACAAAACATGATCTATTTAATTTATAATATATTTAATGGTAATAAATGACCTTATAAGGATTCAAACATGAAATAATTGAATAGTATGAAAATATAAACTATATATAAACAAATATTATAATTGATTAATAAATTAATATGTTTTATTTATATTTTAAATCATATTTAATGCAAAAATTAAAATAAAAGTGAATTTAACATGTTATAATTGAAATGTATCTTTTTACATATTTTAAATTAATAAGTTGCCTTCATTATTATAATTTTATTGAACTGAAATATATCATATCTTATATTTTAAAATATTATAACATTGATTGGATTCTAATCTTATTTAACAACACTATATTAAAATAGAATAATTCAATAAAATCAAGTTTCCCCTAAAATTTTCTTCAAATATATAATGAATAAATAATAAAATATAAAATTCTTACTCTAACCAGGATATAAACAAGTCAATGCATAAGTTAAAATGCTTACTACGATAAGCACTCAAC